TCAACCCTATTCCTCAAGAGACCCTGTCCTTGTTCGCAGGGTCGTCATCAGATGAGGACGAAGGCATCCAGCCCCATGAAAAGGCTATAGCAGCTGGACAGCCGAACCCCCCACATTGCGTCCGTAACATCGAGCAACATGCGTTCGGAAGACGGGAGATCGAGATTGCGGAGCAGGAGATGCCGGGCATTATGGCGCTTAGGGCCAGAGCTAAAGAAGATAAGCCACTTAAAGATGCTAAGGTAAGTACTGGCTATAAAGACTTAAGACATTTTTGTAAAAAATCCTATAAAAACATTGACATGGTCTTGAGTTTACTGGCAAAAAAAAAACACAGAACTCCTACTAACTATGAAACGTAAAACAACGGTTTATTTAGGATATGTCACTAGATGTCACAGATACAGCTCGCCACAGTTACTTTTGTTGGGAAAGATTGCTGTAAAGAGGAAATCAGCTAGAAGGTCGCAGAAAAAATGACATAGTATAGTTATGTAATAAGTATCCGCGACTAGACGTCCGCGCCTATTTTGCGTATGGTGGGTACAGGGTCCCACTCGTGCCACCCGAGTTATTTTTTATATGGTATCAAGTGACGGGACGAACAAGTTGTGGGCCTAGTTGTGGGGCCATTTGAAGTTTTAAATAGCAGATTTGCGCCCGTCTCTCTGAGACATAAAGTTGACAAGTCCCATGTGCCCGTAGTTTTACCAGCACCCTTCGAAACCGAAACGTATTAATGCTCTCATTACAACCCTCAATGAAATAGGTAAGGTGACATTACTTTCCTACACAAACTCTTTCACAAGAGCTTTGCTGCTGCTGTCTTCGCTTTACGATTTGTGAATAAAGTTTTTTCTCTAGATCAATGGTCTTCTTCTCTCTTTCCACAGATCGTAGGTTGCACCCATATCAACGCTCAGACCGCGGTCTTGATTGAAACCTTAGCCGCCCTTGGTGCTACAGTACGGTGGGCCGCGTGCAATATTTACAGCACGCAGAATGAGGTCGCTGCAGCTTTGGCTCATGCTGGTAAGTTCAACTGTCTCTCTCTTTACTTCTTATCTACTGACCCGAGAGATAGGGTATTCCGGAGAGAGTAGGGGCTTGACGGCAAGATCAGAGTACAGCGGACGTCCGGGTCAAGCTCTCCGCCAGTAATACGCCTTCTCGGGCGTCTCTGGTCGACCCGGACTGACCCGGTTGCATGTGGCCGGGGCGTCTGTCTCGTGCGCAGCTAGCGCGTCTTAGTAGCGGTCTTAGTGGCGGTCTAGTTGAGGGCCTGAAGTGAGGAGACGCGCGGGGCACGTGAGTTGTCCTTTACATTGGAAGCTTCGTCCGGACATTATCGCCGGACACTGCGACTGGCATCTCCGGCACTAGCCCGGAGAGCTAGTAGAGGATAAGCTAGATATCCTCTGGTCCCTCGAGCCGCTTAGGTTATTGTGAACTGGAGAGACGTCGTTTTTCGGCATCGGCTCAGAACCGGATGAAGTCGGTGACAACGGTCTGTGATAACCCTGTACACTGGATGATCCGGGGTCAGGATCTGAACTTAGAAGGTGCTCTGTGCTTGCACAGGCTAGAGTATCCTTCTCGTATACCTTAAGGAGCGGTAGGGAGGGTCCCTATAAACAAAACTTATGTAGAAAGATACGGGACTGCCTCTTTGTCCGGTCCATTTAGCTGTTTAGGTGTTTTTGAGATTGGAGAGACGCCCCGGCATCGGGAGGTGAGCGTGCCGACAGCTCCTCCAAGAAATCGGAAATTTGATAGTTGACTTTAGAGTCAACAGCTTTTCGGGATGCCCTGGCAATGGCACAGTCAGCTGGGGTTACGAACTCGGGTTCAAGAACCGGCGAGCGTGCCTTATCGAGCGGGATCGTTTTCGGCTGTGCTGCAAGCCACACGTCACAGAAATATAACCTTCTCAAGTTATTATTACTATTATAATAGAGCACAAGATTTTCAGTTGGAATCCCAACACGGTTGGTATCTTTTCCCATCCTTATGATGTAAGGTCATAGGAAGGACATAGAACAAATTTACCGAATTCTCTGTAGTACAGGATAAAGAGCACGTCAAGCTTGACACTGTATTTCGACTTACATCCTGCTCTATGCCGCTTACGATAATGAACGGTCCAAAGTTCAAAGTGTCATGCTTAACGTGCTTTGGACTGTACCAGAAATTCAGCAATTAATCGCCAGGTAATTGGTTTCTTCTATGGTTCTATGGTATATTATTATTATCTTTAGACGAGTCTCGTACCCAGCAGTAGGATGTATCTAAGTTGAAGATTAATGCAGTCTTACATGTCGAGTTCTTAGGTTTTCGCGATTGTTACACATAGGCATGAAACTATTTTTCCGGATTTAAATCGCGTATATTTGTTTTTTCAAACAAACCAATGTTTCGGGCCCTTTACAGGCCCCATGGTGACGGTTGACTTGAGTCAATAGCTAATGTGGTCTTAAAACTTTCCAGGTTTCGCAGTATTCGCGTGGCGCGGCGAAAGTGAGGAAGCTTTCTGGTGGTGCATCGACCAGTGCTGCTCCCCCAGCGCCACCTGGCAGCCCAACATGATCCTAGATGATGGCGGAGACGCTACGCATCTCATGTTGAAAAAACATCAGACCGCATTTAAGCAAATTAAAGGTTAATTTAAGAAGAATTGTCACTTTGGGAGTTAAACTTTTTTTATGATACCACGTGACAGAACGAACAAGTCGTGCGCCTGGTGGTAAGCGACACGTCTGTTCATAGCAGTTGCAGTGTCACTCAAAGATCAGAGGAGCACTGCCACTGCGCCCGTCACCTTGAGGCATAAATTGACAAGTCCCATGTGCCTGTAATTTCACCAGCATTCTTAACCCTTCAAAACCGGAACGCAGTAATGCTAACATTACTGCTTGGGTTCAGAAATAGGTAAGGTAAAATTTTTAACCGACTTGAAAAAAGAGGAGGTTCTCAACTCGATTGCATTTTTTGAGGCTTCTTTTTTTGTTTTGAAGGGGGTGTCTCAGTTGTGATCCCATTCAAATATTCCACCTTTTAGGGTGGCAAATTAGGGGATGAAACGTATTTATTGCATTTCACCCTGTACCAGCCACAGACGTGCCAGAATGTCTAACCCTCTTCCGACATTCAGGCACGTCTTAGTGCAAGCAAAAGTTACAATCATGCCTTTGGAATCAGCATAGAACACACGTACCAAATTAGTATAAGTAGCTCATACAAAATGTAGTCAGTCAGTCAGTCAATCCTCATTCAGTATCCAGTAAACTCTCATCAAATATCCACAACTTATATATTTTATTTATACCATGTAACTCATGGTAAAGTGGCGACACCGACGATTTTCCGTTAACCACACAATTTCACACATTTTTGAGTTTTTTTTATATAATACTAAATGACGGGAAGAACAAGTTGTGTGCCAGGTGGTAAGCGTCACGCCTGTTGATAAAAGTTGCAGTGCCACTCAGAGCTTTAAATTACAAAGATCTGGGGGGCACTGCCACTGCGCCCGAAACCCTGAGACATAATTTGACAAGTCCCATGTGTTTGTAATTTCACCAACATCTTTACCCTTCGAAACCGGAACGCAGTAATGTATTACTGCTTGGCGGCAGAAATAGGTAAGATGGCAGTACTTCCCTGGATCTCTATTGCTACTAAAATTTGTATTAATAAAATATATTAATTACTATTTCTGATCTAATTGGCGTATCTTCATATTTTCAAACAAATCTAAAGGCTCAGTCTTTTTACGGTCCCATGGTCATGGGTACCTGAGATGATAGTAATCTATCAGTTATAATATTAATGCGAACTGAACCGAATGCGGGCGTTACCATGCTAGACTGCCAAGCAGAGGTCCCGGGTTCAATTCCCGGGCCGGAAAAAAAAATGTGTGGCCTACATTTATTTCTCTCGTGAGTTTGGTTCAATCAATCAATCATAAAGATAAATTCCTTCGATCAAATTGAAATCGAACCAGCGTCTTCGCCAAACCAGAGCTAACGCTTTCCCAGCTGGACTATGGAACGAGACAGAAGACCACAACAACAACAATTCACACATAGCCCCGCACTAAGGAAATCGCGAGTGCGAAGTACACACATATGATAGACAACCACAAATTACACCCAAACTCACGAGAGAAACAAATGCAGGCCATACAAATATTTCTCCCTGCCCGGGAATCGAACCCGGGGCCTCTGCGTGGCAGTCCAGCAGGGTAACTCTTCCGCCACCGAGGCAGTTAAGTTGCAGATCTTTGTTTATGGTTTTAACGGCTTTTTTTAAACCAAATGTATGTTTTTAGCTGACATCACCGCTATTGTCTATGCCTTGCAGGTATTGTGGAAGAGAGCGTAACAGGCGTCCACAGACTATACCAGCTCAGTAAAGCTGGCAAACTATGTGTTCCTGCTATGAATGTCAACGACTCCGTTACCAAGACCAAGTTTGATAACCTATACTCCTGTCGGTAAGTCACTTGTAATTACTAATGGCATTTTCATTACACTTGCTCGTAAACAGTGCTATAACATGCAGGTAAAGTCGGCTGTAATTATGCCCACGGGCTTTTTCATTACATTGGATTTTGTTTTTATTTAATTGCAGTGTACTTCTGTTATACGTTAAGGTTAAGCAAAAAGTTTTAATGCTCGAAAAATCTGAATTATTTCATATGGGCTTGAAGGATAGGAAAAAGAACTAAAGATTTGCTAAATTAATTTTATAAATTCAAATTCTGCAGCATTCTTAGTATTTTGAAACTATTTATTTTATATCTTTACCATTATGGCTGTATGCGTTTTTTGCCTTTTACAATATGTATGGAAGAATGACTGGCCATCAGGTTTTATGAAAAAAAAAAAAAACAAAACATACAAGAAATAAATTGTTAAAACATACAAGAAATAAATTGTTAAAACATACAAGAAATAAATTGTTATTACATTTATTTCCTCGCAAATGCGATGAAGAACGTTGATGTAGCATGGGAGGTATAAAATTCCAAACCCAGGTCATTGAAGCCTTCAGCCCGAAGCTTCGGGCTTCCTTTTTTTTTATATAAAATGTAAGTGCGATTCACAACTGGCAGATCGGAAACTTTTGACATTTCAAATCGGACCAATAATTGACTTAACTCACAATTTAGAAAGATATAGTAGCTTAGAAACCCATCCATTCCAATTTGAATCAAAACCATCACGCTGGTGGGATTTTATGTAAATTGTTTTTTGTTCCGTTTTCAGGGAAAGCATAATTGATGCCCTTAAACGCAGCACAGATCTCATGTTCGGCGGGAAACAATCTGTTGTTTGCGGGTACGGAGAGGTTGGCAAGGGATGCTGCCAAGCGCTAAAGGCCTTAGGATGCGTCGTAAGTATCTATGCTTAAAAAATAATCCTATTGCTTATAAAAAAAATAAAAATAAAAAAAACAATTTTTTTTTATTTCAAGACACTATCTCTACGATTTTAGTGGCTCGAGAATCCCCTTTTTAGTTATAAATTATAATTGTGCTAGGGATCTATTCACGCTTCAATTTGTAAAAAAATACAAAGACAAGAAACTTAAAAATAACAAAAGATGATGAACTTCAAAGTATAAAATGTGTGAGTTAGTGAGTGAGTGAGTGTGTGTGTATGTGAGTGAAGTGTGTCATTTGTGTGTATGGTGGTGACCAAACGATACAGATCAAACTGTGCTCATTATTTACTACCTATTCTATACTATTTAGTACCTTTTTATTTAGAAATAAAGTGGCCAGCCATTCTGACGTTAGGTTGGCTTAAATATAATAACTTAATGTAAATTGATAAAGATGGTTTCTGGATTATCTTTGCAAGCAATTGCAAAGATAATCAGAAACCATTGCTGGCATATTCTAAGCGCCTGAATATGTATTATTAGCAATTATACGGAAAAGATAAACTGTCTTTTTTAGAAGACGACTTTTGCAAAGGCGTTTTATTCTTTTTTTAAAATGTCTTTATAGAAGCTTCCTAAAATATTTAAAAAAAGTATATTTAGGTAGAAATTAGGTAGTAAATTGTTATATAAAAAAAGTAAATTTTACACTGCTAGAAACATGAAAAACGTAAAGTGGTCAGCCAACCTGACGTCAGAATGTCCGGCCACTTTATTTCTTTAAAATAGGTAGTAAATAATGAGCACAGTTTGATTTGTGTATCTCGTTTGGTCCAGCCATTCTGACTGACCACCCGCTTAACTGAGTCGGTTCCTGAGGTAGCTGAGCGGGATAACTGATAGTTTACGATTTTTTGAAATAATACTAAGTAATAGGATGAACAAGTCGCGCGCCTGATGGGAAACGACACGCCTGTCCATAACAGTTACAGTGAAGAAAGATCTGAGAAGCACTGCCACTGCGCCCGTCACCCTGACATAACTTGACAAGTCCCATGTGCCTGTAATTTCACCAGCACCCTTGCCCTTCAAAACCGGAACATAGTGATGCAAACATAACGGTTATGTTGTGCTGCGTAAAACTTTTCTAACGATATTCAATAACAAGATTACTGCAAAAAATGTCAAATGGCTTGTCTATTAATTCCAATTATCAGTGATGTAGTTTTTTTTCGCATAACTACAATTGAAATGAACGGGGTACCATGCTGGACTGCCACGCAGAGGTTCCGGGTTTGATTCCCGGGTCGGGAGATATTTGCTATTTGTATAGCGTTTATTTCTCTCGCAAGTTTGGGTGTAATTTGTGGTTTTCTTTATGTGTATCCATGATACAGTTTCCCTAGTGTGTGGGCTATTATTAAATATGTTTACACTTCGCATAATAATGCTGTATGTTAAATTATACCTGAAACACATTCCACCGAGTGTAAATACAAAAAAGTAATACATTTATTGGTGATAAAACCATCATGATCATCAATGCAAAATAGTGAATGAGTATTTTGATATCAGATCAAGAGAAAGATAAAATAAAAAAAGGACGGGACGAACAAGTCGTGCGCCTGATGATGAGCGACACGCCTGTCCATAACAGTTGCACCATCACTCAGTACTTTAAATCACAAAGATTGAGGGGTACCCTGAGACATAAATTGACAAGTCCCATATGCCTGTAATTTCTTTCACCAGCTCCCTTACCACTCACGCTACTGCTTGGCGGAAATAGATAAGTGGCACTTCCCTGGACGAAATCTTTCACAAGGAGCTCTACTGCTACTAAAGTTATAATGTTGATTTTCTTTTTCTCATAATTACCTTTATTTCTATTTATACTGCTTCAGGTGTACGTGACAGAAATTGACCCCATCTGCGCTCTACAGGCAGCCATGGACGGATTTAGGGTTGTCAAATTGAACGAAGTAAGTTGTTTACATTTTATACAGGGTGTTTCACGGCCATCGAGTATATAACCAGAAATAGAGTATGTTGAAATTGCCAAGATTACAGGGGAGCCTTTTAAATTTCTCAATTCACTGAAGTAAGCATAACACGTGACTTTAGCATTTCTCAGTTTGCTGCTCGTTACTCTCATAGAGTATTATAAAATCCTTGATATCGGTTATATACTCACTCTATTAGATGATCACTCTATGTGAGTAACATAAATAAAACTGACAACTTTAAAACGCTCCCCTGTAAACTTGGCAATTTCGACATAAGATACTTTATGTAGGAGGGGTCGATTTGTTTGAAACCTATTCTGCCAAATCATTACTGTGACAACTGCGCACCGATTGGCCAGCCCGAATTCGAATCGACCAGTTTAACTTGAGCTTCGCCATAATGGACGAAAATTTAAAAATTACATATTTAATTGCCGACGAAATGTTTTGTAATTACATGTTTTGCTGTTCCCCTCACCACCGAATGGAACAGCACGCCATTGTTAGAGATATTATCTTTATTGCAATAAATACAGAATATTTTTGGAATATACGGAGACATATACACAGGCGCTGTACTATTTCAGCTTTCTAATTTATGATTTCAGTGCAAACGAGAGTTGACATTTTTTTTTTTATTGTGACTCGGCAAAATGACTGCACCGCGCCTGATGGAAAGTGCGAATACAGTCCAGAGATGAGAGTAACGGATGGAAAACACAAATATCTTCACTCCGTCACTATCATTTTGCTGGTCTGGCCAAATGCTTCTTCACACTACATTTAAAAGTGATATAAGGCTTTTTGCCCTAATTACGTCTCTATTTCTGGTTATATACTCGGTACTCACGGCTATGTCACGCGGAGAGAAAGTACAAATATTGTCACAGAATGATCATCATTACCAACCCATTTATACGTTCTACTGCTGGGCATGGGTCTCCTCTCAGGCGAAGGTTTTAGGCCATAGTCCGCCACGCTGGCCCAATGTAGGTTGGTGACTTCACACGTTATCAGAGGGTTGTGAACGTTCTTCGACGTGCAGGTTTCGAAAGATCATGGTAAACTTCAAATTAAATTTCGCGGTGTGAGACTGGAGTCGAACCTTCGACCTCTGCCTGCGAGGTGGTATATTATTATTATTATTAGTGGCATACCCTCCTCTTTATAATTATATAAACATCCAATGTATTGGTTTAAAAAATACTCGTTTTTAACATATCAAAATGAAACCACTTATCGGAAGACCATTTATAATGTATACATGTTAACAAAAGCCGCTTGTCAATAATCATATGAATACAAAATAATGGACAAAGAAGTTTGCGGTATGACTTCTTTCACAGATATACAAACAATTTTAACATGACAGGTGGCATGAAAATGAATATTTAACATGACAGGTGGCATGACAGTTTGTATATGTGATACTATAAACATTTCTTTTTCAAAACAGATTTTTATTTTGCAATTATTATCAATAAAGCTCATTATTTTGTCGATCTTTGTCAATGACAAGGTGAAGTTGCTACAAAGTCTGCGTTTGCGCAGCTCCGTATATGGAGATCGAATCTCCGTCCATCGTGTCGTCATAAATGGCTTGTTGATTTGTTTACAAGATAAACCTTTTTGGACAAGCCACCTGTTTAGAATTAACTGGCTCATTCACACTTGTTTCATGTACTAAGTATAATAAGCTGTCTTTTGGTCACTCTCAATTACACTCAACAACGGCATACTAAACTGTCACATTTTTAACTGCAGAACACTAATTAAATGATGTATGACGCAATTTGCGAAGATGCGATTGAATTATTTCTTTTGTATATTATCTCTTAATACATACAATGTTCTGCACAATTGATACTTTATTACCATATTTAATTTGTAAGATAATTCAAATTTAATATTCGTTCAAGATTTCATTGACTTGTTATCTAAACCTGGTTGTAATTATAGTTCCCTTCTAAACTCGAGGCTGCTGGACATCCGTGTGCGCCGAGCGTCCCCTATGAATGATCGCTGATTTATTACTACGCCTGTATATTAATTAAGTAATTCTGAATTAATGGACTATACGTTATAATTAAACGAGTAGAGATTCCAAAGTGCTCGTAACACAATATCGAACGAAGTTTAGATATTATAAGAAGAAAAAATCAATATCGATTATCCGAATGATATGTCTTCTTCTGTGCTGGCCACACGTGTGTGGTTTGTTTTTTGTATTTTTTTCTCATATCGATAAAAAACCGAAAACATGAAAATTTAGGTACAACAATTATTATTCTTTGTGTATTTTCTAAGTAAACATTTTTTCAATTAATTGTAACAACAATATCATTTGTACTGAAGATGTTTGTACTTGGTAAATTCCAAAATTTACAACAATGCTGATCTATTTATAGTACTTTGGACTTTACCAGCGCTTATCAGAGGGTTGTGAACGTTCTTCGACGTGCAGGTTTCGAAAGAT